TTTTTTTTCCCCCCCCCCCCCCCACTCCCCCATCAGATCCCATTTGGTCGTCCCAAGGTAAAATAATGTGATTAAACACACACACACACACACAAGGGAAGCCACTAGGGCAGAAATAGCACCAGAGAAGAGGAAGGCAAGCTTTGCTATGACTGTGCAACTAGTTAGGTCTGTAGAGCAGGATGAACGAAACCCGGTAACTGCTGGGCAATGATCTCCCCAATGAGGAAGAAGGGAGTGGTTGAAACTTAAAAATACAAGCAAACTGTCAAGTAAACAGTAAAAGCCCAGTTCAACATCTCTCATTAATCTCTGGACACTGCAATAAAGAAAAAAAGGTTGCTGCAGTTAAGGAAAAATATATAACCTTGAAGGGAATGGCCAAATATCCATGCACAGGGACAGACAGGTGGGGAAATCTTAGAATTTAAAACTGACAGACATATAGGCTCTGACTGCTGTTTACTGCAGTGGGCAGATCTCCTTTCATAGTTGACTTTCTTTTTGGTCAGCAATAAAGTATCTAAACAAGCCAAGTTGTGCCCAGGCATTTACTGCTGAGTAAGTATATTCCAAAATAAGGGACTGAGAGTATGGGAAGCCTAACTGTACAGTCATTAGGCTGAATCAAGCATGACAGCTGTTAAGTGGATTAGCATACTCTTCTCTTCCCCCCCACCCCCCGCCAATAATAGTGGTCTGTTCTCCTCTATTTTTGACACTGTTGGTGTCAAAAAGGAGAAGGGGAGGAGAGTGATGGTATGAAAGGAATCCAGGAAATAAAGGCTTCATAGGGAAGGCGAGTCCTGGGAAAAGAAGGGCTGTGGTAGAGACTAGAGGGAAGGGTCCTCAATACTTTGGATCATACCCATAACAGGTCAGCTGACCTTAACTCCACATTAATAGGTGACAAAAAGCTCTAACGAGGTAGTGAGGGCTTAAGGAGAAAGCAAGACTTTGTGCCTAATGATGAGTTAAGATTGCTTCATTCATGGGCTGGGGACAAGCTAAGGGCAACATAATGGAGCCAAGGGGGAAAATAGGTTTTGTGAAGACATGACTATGCCATGGTAGAATGCAAATGGGGACAATTTAATACGTCTGTAAATGTTGTATCATCATTCCAGAGCTTGCCTATCCAGCATGCACAATTCACTCTTCACTGAAACATACAAAGCACTGAATTGGGTTTATCTTTATGTGTATCATCTATACTTGTAACCTTGTTACAAGTATATTCTTTACTAAATAAATAAATAAATAAATAAATAAATAAATAAATAAAATTACGACCAAGGAGGTATGGTAGTAATGTAGTGACATCACTGGACGGATGCTACTATTTTTTCCTGTGCTTCCAACAGATGGTCTAAGGGTGGCTTGACCAGATTAGCACTCAATTTCTTTAAAATCGGTGAAAATGTTGCTGTCCAAAATAGTCATTTGCCAACAAATTTCAGTGATACAATCTTGAGGTACTCTCAGGGCTATTAAAAATGTTGCTCCCTTCTGATCTGCCTTGAGTGGTAATAACTCTAGAGTTTCATAAGGGAAGATTCTTCTTTTTAGTGATAAGTCAGTGTTTATTATGTGCCCTATCATATATTCTGGTGGTATATGGTCCACAGATAGTGTGCTTGTGAAATTGTTCATTACAGGACTCTAGTTGGCTCTGGTTTCTTTCAAAATGCATATGTACAGTGGAACCTCGAGTTACGAATTTAATCCGTTCCGTGACTCTGGTTGCAACTCGAATTGG